CTCATCATTGCTAAAATAAGATAGGACACGCGGTTGTTTGAAAACGAAAAGGCGACCGGTAAATGCAAATTATACAGGACTAACAAGGACCTCGAGGACACAAACTTGAATAGTGCTAAACCAAGTATGGCATATATATGATGACCGTCCACTATCTTCTTCTTAGGCAAGTAAATAGTTTTGTCCATGGCATCTTATGGTTCTTATCAAATGCATTTCACTTCCAGAAGACCACCTGCACAAAGTTCTTGTTCTTATGCTTCATATAGCCTCGAATGGAGAAAGTTGTCCAAAAAGTCCTCAACCTATTGTACAACGACCGATTCAGTCATAAACCTTTTAATTGTACTAATTTAGTGCTAAACGTTTTGACGATTTACCAATTTAGTCCTAACCCTTTTGACGATTTGCCAATAAAGTCATTCTGGCCAATTATCCAAATGATAGGTTTATGACTGAATTGACAAATTTTCAAAAGGTTTAGGACTGTATTGGTCGCCGTACAATAGGTTTAGGACTTTGTGGACAATTTTCCCGCCTCAAATGACTCGTCCACCGAATGAAGGTCACATTCTCATTTTAATAATCCTACTCATCAGTGGTTCATCCTTCTTCATCGACCAGCCTGCTTATTAGTAAATTTGTTGGGCATCCACTGCTGTTCATTTTCCATGTAAACCAACCTCAGAACATGCTGCCAAATCATCAATTGGGAACGTAAACAAATGAGTATTACGACGACGTGACATTCGTATAGTGGGTTTATAACTGGTAATTTCGCTCAAAGGTTTAGGGCTAAATTGACAAATTAAAAAAGTTTAGAGCTACATTGGCATCCGTACAGTGCGTTTATAACTGAAAGAAACATAAAGCATCGCTTTCTGCTCTCTTTCTTTTCAGCCTAACACACTTCATGCTTGGCTTATTTTGTAACGCCTCGGGTCTACACTGTATAATATTATCCACTTTGAGCCCACTAACTCTCACGGCTTTAAAACGCGTTACACAGATATAGAACCCCAAGCCTTATAAGCCAGTCCAAGACTCCCCCTAGGTGATATGGGACAAGAGAGACTCTCCCTCCCTTCCCTGCACACGTCCAAGGACCGAGGCGCGAATGCACCGCCTGGGCCGTCACACTCTCCACCCGTTACAGGCACATCGCCTTCATTGTGGCCCCCAACGCGGTCGGGAGTCGACTCTGATACCACCTGTCCAAAACGGACAATATTACATAGTATAAACCCGGGACATTACATCTTTAGTATGCATTTTACGTGGCAAGAGATTACCGCAAAAGACACCAGTTGATTGGTGCTGAGATGGACAAATTTGATAGGGAAACGGCCAGTAAACGATTCGTTTTAGGGATGGCTCTCTCTCCTCGTCCTTTAGGACCTGACGCACTTTTGGTTTCTCTAGCAGCGTCTTCCAGCCACTGCGAGCTTCTAACTAGAGTCAATCTTGCATAAGATTTTAAGTTAGACGGGACCGTTTGCTTCCTTTGTTATGTTGTTGATGAAATCTTCATGGCGAGTGCTTAAGAACTGCGTAGGAAGCTCCTTATGTGCGTGGCTTCATCTTCTATTATAAGAGGTTATAGTTAATATAAGTGTCCCGTAAATCTGGAGAAAACTGTCGGAAAAGTCCTAAATCTATTATGTTTATGCCAATTTAGTCTTAAACCTTTTGATTTAGTGTCAATTCAGTCTTTCCAGCTAATTTTGACTGGATATTGCTGACGTGGATGCCAGATGGCCTACGTGGCACGACCGGCACTGATGTGGACAACTCTTAATAATATTTTAATATTTTTTTCTATTTTTTATTTTCTTTTCTTTTCCTTTTCCTTTTTTTTCTTTTTTTTTCCTTCCCTTTCTTCTTCCTCCGGCCGATCCCCGGACCTCAGCGACCAGCCAGAGGCTAGAGCCGGCGAGGTCGACCTTGCCAGCCACTGTGATTAAATCCTAAATATGACGTCCACTGTGATTAAGCCCCAAATATGACGTCCACTATGACATAACCATATCAGTTAAGGTTATGTCTTGAAAATCACATCAATTGTGATTAAATCCTAAATATGACGTCTGACCGTGATTAAGCCCCAAAACAGAGCTGGTCTATGTAGATGTTCATATCTCATATTATCCAGTAATCTCATCGCACATAGGCCGATGATGAGCATAAATCAAATAACACAAACTCCACAATGCCGGCATATAAGCATCACCAAAATAAAAATATTTCATATGCATATCTTTTTCAACACATTCCATTGCAGCACCCAAATTATTGAAAAATATCTAAAGCCCAATTTCAGTTATGCAATAGCATGCCGTAAAACCTTTTGTTTTTCTACGTCATCATAGAGGACATGCCATGCCGAAAATAATTTGATTTACTTGAAAAGTCATGCACGTTTATAAAAGCATACAAGTGATAAAAAGCCATTTATCTCGAATTTCCGCTAAAAAAAGAATGCAAATTAATCATGGATTTTCTTCTGCTCCTAATCATAAATTTTTTAACCAAATATCGGAAATATACCCTCAAAAAAATAAAATTGTGTCTTTTGGGCCGAAAGGGCCCGTCTCGGTGAGAATTGTGAAAACGGGTCAATGGACTGGGCCTAAGCCTTAAACTAAGCTCAATATTTTATAAATCGAGACTTATCATACTTAATCTACAAATTCTTTGTTATTTGTTAAATAAAGCTGAAAATCTTCTTCCTCTTTTTCGAGTAATCCCCCTTGTACGTTTCCAGAGAACTAAAATTTTCATAAGGTCAAAGATCATGAACTCTGATTTCATAAAACTTTTGCAAGTACGGAACCATGTCTTCATTTTGCAGTAATTTCTCATAATATCCAGAAATCAGCGAGTATTGACTATTTTTAAAAAATTAACGAAAAATGGAGGGGACGTATAGCTAACTGTGCTAAGTTCAATGGTGAAAATGGAGTCTCAACCGGACGTTGGGGTGAGCTGCACACGCCCCTTGCAGTGGCTGAGTGTGGGACTCACGCACCGCGCACAAATAGTATGCTCGGTGCGGAAATTTATAGTTTTGGATTGGGAAAAATGACACTGGAAATTGCATAGTTTTTATATGGCGCTTACCTTGATGTCGAAACTTTTTAACGGGTCACTTTATTGCCATGGAGATACCAGAGAGTTTCGTTAACATCATAATCGAAACTTAATATCTAAAACTGCAGGAAGAACGCAAAACTGAGGTGATGTAGATAAGCGGCAGAGGGTTTCCAATAACAGGAATTTGTATTTAGTGGTTAAGTTAAAAGAAACTCTTTACTTTAGTTTGTATATCCTTGGCACTTTAATTAGTTTTCAATAAATATTTTTCCTCTAATTAAGTTTTCCGAGTTGAACGTTCATTTACGAATATAGAAAACTATTTTATCAGATTTGTTGTTGTAGGATGGCTCATAAATTGGATTTTATTTTTTATTTTCTGAAGCAGATTTAATTCTTAAATTTTCTTTTAATTCGTAGATCTTCACTTTCCTCGAGCATTACTTTTCAGTGTCCTTAAAACTACCAAATTGGGATTATTATTAAGACTTTCTTTTTGTAATTTTCTTTTCTTTCTCTTATTTTTCGTTTGTCGTCCATCGCTTTGATTCTTATCTTCCCCTTCTCACTCTTTTTATTTTTTATTTTTTACTTTCCTTCTCTCTGAACTCCCAATTCAATGCTTTTTCTGACCGTTTTCTGCTTATTTCTAAGAGCTTAGATTTGCCCGTTTATTAAATATGCATATTTCAATATCCTCAACTTAACCAAAAAGAACGTAAAAAAAATAGAAAATATACGATTAATGTTCCTAGTAACTTCCCACTTTCATCACCTTCTTAATTTATTCACAACTACCGAGCTTCACGCGTGTGCCCAAACAAACACTAGTAATGAAATATGTGAAATGTTGTTTTAACATGCGATAAAGTGACTTAATGTCATAAACACATTACACGATCTACATGTTATGTTCATTATAAGTAATTAATCACGTAATCCGGTAATTATGTGACTAAAAGAAGTCACCTACAAGTCCCACATCTTTGGCAATTGATGTTCCGCGATCTCATTCTCGGTGTTTGCCTGTCAGAGTGTTCCACGATCCTAACAACAAATCTCACGAAAATTCTTCATTAATCTCATTGACTGTGTGTAGACACAAATCTGAACAAGAATGAATGGTCAAAACATAAAATCGTTCTCCATTTTGTGGTGTATGGTACAAAATTTGTGTCACGCACCTAATCTTCATACATGTTATGTCGGTTGCTTCATCACATGAATTTTAACCAAACCAAGTTTTGATGTTTTCTTCACAGTTTTTTTATGAGAAGCATGGTGCAATTGGTTTTTGTTTTCCCCATGTAGAAATTACTATATAGGAGGAAATAATTACATATGATTATTAAATAGAGTTAATATCATGAAAAACCTTAATTTGGTATACTTGTGACAAACTTACCCTGAGTTAATTTTTTGACCACCATAAACCTCAAATTAGTACACCTGTGATAAATATACCACAAACTAATTTTTTGACCACCAAAAACCTTAAACGGATACATTTATGATAAATTTACTCTCCGTTAGTTTCCGTTAAATCGGATTAATACCATAAAAAATCACAAACCGGTACACTTGAGATAAACAGAGGGTAAAATCTAAAATTAGTATACCTATCAACTGTCACGTATCATCAAACTCAACAATTCGATTGTAAAATTTAATTAAAGGGATTTTTGATGGAATTATTAACATTATTAATTATTTACGATGATTGCATGATACCAAGTCGAGATGGCCGAGTTGGTCTAAGGCGCCAGATTAAGGTTCTGGTCCGAAAGGGCGTGGGTTCAAATCCCACTCTCGACACGTGTGCTTTTTCTTTTTCTTTATCTATTTCTTTTTTTTCTTTTCCAAGGTAACCACGTTTCCAAAGATTTGACTTTTATCTTTCATCTTCTTCTTCTTCTTCTACTTTTAAGAACAGGAACGAACAACGACCCCTTTATCACATGAATTCGTCATCTCTTTCTTGTCTGATGATTCCCCAAGAACGCAACCGTTGATCCCCCCCCGTGATCAGTCCGACCGCGAACATCGTACCCATCTCCACGAACCCACCAACTTCCAAGCGCCCGGATCCAAATTCTTGCGGCGTCGACTCCTCGGGATCGTCGCTTTTTCTTGCATCTGCGCGCGTCCTTGGGGCCGAGGGAGAGTGCCAATTCTTGAAAGTTTCCTCATTTTTTCTCGCCAATTCGGGCTCTTTCGGCTCGCGGTTCTGCGCCCGATCGTGGGTCCTTCGCCAAAGCCGTGCGGACGCGAGGGATGGCGGGTCTTTGATCTGATCGAGGCCAAATTTTTGGGTTCCGAACTGGCGGGTGTTCGATTCTCGGATTAAATTTCGTTCTTTTTTCCGACCGCTGTGTCGACTGCGCAACCGTAAGTTGAATTCTTGGTTACGAGGATGTTCTTGGTTTTTTTTTCTTTCTTTCTTTTTTTCGATGTTTTGGCTGCCGTTTGTTTTCTGTCCTGGTTTTTCGACATGAATGACTGCAATTCTGGGCCGGTGCTTGTCTGAACCTACGCAATTTGTCGGAAACTTGAACCGTCACGAGAGAGAAAGGAAGGTTTCAGGAGTTCGTCCCTATGATAACATTGAATCTATGCATTTTGTTATCAATGCTGCATTTTGACAATGACATGATGCCCGATCCCTGCTGTTGATGGTGTGGGCTCACTGAGGCCTCATGCCGCATTGGCAATGAATGGCTGGGTCTAAGGCGTTGTCTGCATATTCATTCCATTGACGTAATTGGAAGTGTTTTCTATCTCTCGTGATGACTAGCCTACTTTGTAAATGTGATGTAGTACGCCTTCGCCATAATGTTATGATCTTGGCTGTCTTTGGCTGCATATAGTGGTACTATCTCACATCTGTACTAAGAACTCTGTACATCCATAAATTTATATACATTAGCTTGCATGGTTCAAATTAAGCCATCTGTTCAACAGTGGCTGCTGTTGTTTGTAACCTAGAGTTTGAGTGTATATTGATTTAGTCTCTTCTAAAGAATCCTATTTGGACTCTATGGTTTTCCAGGTGCCTCATGGCATATAAGGGCATCCCAAATGAGAGAAGGAGTAGGAGTTCGATGCCTATATTTGTCGTAGTTGGTTTGTGCTGTGTCTTCTACATTTTGGGTGCATGGCAGCGAAGTGGTTTTGGAAAAGGAGACAGCATTGCAGTTGAAATCACCAAACAGGCAGATTGCAGTATCCTCTCCAATCTACACTATGAAACACATCAAAACGGCGATGCCTTGATAATGGATGATTCCAACACGGACATCAAGGAATTCAAGCCATGTGGTGATCAATATATTGATTACACGCCATGTCAGGACCAAATGCAGGCTATGATGTTCCCTCGAGAAAATATGAATTACAGAGAGAGGCACTGTCCCACTGAAGAAGGGAAGTTGCGTTGCCTTGTCCCAGCGCCCAAAGGATATATGACCCCATTCCCATGGCCCAAGAGTCGTGACTATGTTCCCTTTGCCAATGCACCGTACAAGAGCTTAACTGTTGAAAAGGCTGTCCAGAACTGGATCCAGTATGAGGGCAATGTGTTCAGATTTCCAGGAGGCGGAACGCAGTTTCCAAATGGGGCTGATGCTTATATTGAAGAACTTGCTTCTATCATTCCGTTGGATAATGGGGTGGTTAGAACTGCACTCGACACTGGATGTGGGGTATGTGCACTAGTGCGAATTACAAATATTTGTTTCAAATCAGTTATTCTTGTGTTAGATTTCTGCATTAGGTGGATCAACTGTTCAATAGATGCGTGGAAGTTAGATTCATTTAGATCTTGTTCCTATTGTGGTGAAAGCTCTCTCACTGTTGCATATGTGCATGTCTAATGCTGTTTTTCAATATCATTGGGTTTTGTATTCACATTTGCTCATGTATGTTCATAGGTTGCAAGTTGGGGTGCATACCTGTTCAAGAAAAATGTTATAGCCATGTCATTTGCACCCAGAGACTCTCATGAGGCTCAAGTTCAGTTTGCACTGGAGCGAGGTGTCCCTGCAGTTATTGGAGTTCTTGGGACCATAAAACTGCCATATCCAACTAGAGCTTTTGACATGGCTCACTGCTCTCGCTGCTTGATACCATGGGCTTCCAATGGTGAGTTTAATTTAGGAGTTGCTCACATCAATTGGTTTTCAAGATTTTATTGTCCTTCGACTGTAGACTTCTGTTCAGTGTAGTCCATCACCAAGTTTTCACATTTCCCCACATCTTTGTTTCTCCGTTTTCTTTTCATTAAAGGTCTTTTTTAGGCTGGTCGAGGAAGGTTCAGTTTCGTGCTGATATTATGCAGGAAGAAATTTGGCATTGGATTTTGACCAGTCTCACATAACTTAGGAACTTTCCTTGGAATTCTTGCCACAAAACACATGCGGTGTAATATTCCCTTTATTTTACTTTTTTTATATTTTATAGTCTTCCTTTGCAGGTGGGATGTACATGATGGAAGTTGATCGAGTTCTTAGACCCGGTGGTTATTGGGTCCTTTCTGGTCCTCCCATTAACTGGATCAACAATTACCAAGCATGGCAGCGTCCAAAAGAAGAACTTGAGGAGGAGCAAAGGAAAATTGAAGAGACTGCCAAACGTCTTTGCTGGGAGAAGAAGCATGAAAAGGGAGAAATTGCTATATGGCAAAAAAGAACCAACTATGATTCTTGCCATGGCAAAGATCTGGAGCCCGCAGTGTGCAAATCCACAAATCGAGATGATGTCTGGTACATCCATGACCTTCAACTGTATCTGTCAGTTTCTTGTTATCTTGGCATTCAGTCACTGTTCTATGCTTATTTTACTTAAAATTTGGCTGAGGGGGTAATTGATCTTAATAGCACTTGCTAGAGGCAACAAAATCCTTAATGGGCAACCACCACCCTTGTTTGGTCTTTATAGCGCCTCGAGTTATGTCATACTGTAACCTGGACTTGAGTATAGGTATGGTACATGCTGCTCTGTGCTTGTCATGAGAATAAGAAAGGTTCTATGGGAGCATGTATTGACTGGATAAATGACTGGATACTGTTGGAACTTATGCTAGGGTCTGCAATATTTATCAGGAAGATCTATAAGTGCTCATGTTCTTAGAGTTGCTGATCTGCAGGTACAAGATAATGGAGGCATGTGTTACTCCATACCCTGAAACTACTGATCCAGAAGAAGTTGTGGGTGGGGCATGGAAGCCATTTCCAGAAAGATTAAATGCCATTCCACACAGAGTTTCCAGTGGTTCAATACCTGGAGTGTCAGCTGATTCATTTCAGGAGGACAACAAGACGTGGAGGAAACATGTAAACTTTTACAAGACAGAGAACAAGATTATTGGTTCAGGGAGGTATCGGAACATCATGGACATGAATGCTGGTCTGGGGAGTTTTGCTGCAGCTCTGGAATCTCCAAAACTATGGGTCATGAATGTCATGCCCACAATAGCTAAGAGAGACACTCTTGGTGTTATTTATGAGCGTGGGCTGATAGGCATATATCATGATTGGTATGTTTTCAACCATGAATCCTTTTCGTTCAACCAGAAATCGCTATTTCCTGGGCGGTGGAACTAAATTTTGATAATTCTAGGACCATGAGCTCAAATCGCTTGTCTCTTGTTTCAAAAGTCAGTTTGTGCTGAGATGTGAGATATTGCATCCAGTTCTTGTGGTTCTTTATAGGTTGTAGAACTTATGCATTACTGACATTGTTTTTTGTGCCGGCTATTTATGAAAGCACCAAGTTTCGATTTGTTAGACAGTATGTTTGTCGCTTGGTTGGACGTCACTTTATATTGAGATTTCATCGGTTTGGGGTGGATACAAAAATAGCAATCACTGAAAACCTTAAGCAACTGATTTGCGCAACCCTTGAAGCAGAACCTAGAGTCTGATGACTTCTGTATAGGCGTATGTTCAGTTACCTGTTAGCAAATTTTTTGGTAAGTACTCATTGACGAGCACCAACGGGGTTAATTATTAGATACTCCCAGTGTATCCTCCTTCCCTCTCGCATGCACTGTGGACCATATGGGACCTATGGTAATATAAGAGGAGTCATTATACTCCTGGAGCATGTAAACCAAGGGGATGCAGTCTTTCGAATCTTTTACTAGGGATATAACAGGTGCCTATCAGCTGCTAGTAATCATCATTTTCTGTAGAAGCAAGCCATTGTACATTTAAAAACAGAATTTTCGCCGCATGCGACCTTAATGTGCAATTTACTGTGCATGCTCCTTTAAGGAACCATAAATCCCAATTATGCTTATTTTCGTTATGGCATCTTCTCAAGTTGTTCTGTTGCTTAATAAGCTTCTATCGTGGCTTAAAATTCCTCTTGACCTATGGTTTCCGCGATCAGGTGCGAAGCCTTCTCCACATATCCGAGGACATATGATCTCATTCACGCGCATGGAGTTTTCAGCTTGTACAAGGATAAGTAAGTGATCTCTTAAACCTTTTCATATGATTCACTATTCAGCTGTAGGTGATTGATTAAAATCTAAGTTTCTACATAAATAGCATCATTAGATGGCAGATCGCAGGAAGTACTGGAAGCCACCTTATGATGGGAGTATTGATTAGAGGTGGTTTAACATAAAGATCATGATTAACATCATTAACTTAAGTTTCTCGATTGTAATTAATGACTGCAGGTGTAACATGGAAGACATTCTCCTCGAGATGGATCGTATCCTACGACCAGAAGGAGCAGTCATTTTCCGGGACGAAGTGGATGTGCTGCTAAAGGTGAAGAGGATTGTGGCAGGAATGAGGTGGAACACAAAGATGGTGGATCATGAGGATGGTCCTCTGATCACCGAGAAAGTTCTCTTCGCCGTCAAGCAGTACTGGGTTGCCGGCGAAAGCAGTTCTATGTCCGCACCGCAGATGGGTTAAAGAAAGGATGACTAGAGTGCAGTTCTTGCATGAACACTGCTGCTTTAGCCGTTCAATGACAAAGAAACTCATTCCGACTCACTTGCGCATCCCCAGAGAGAGGTGTGATAACGTGCAACCCTTCTAATTTTATGTACAGATGACCCTAATTCTTCAAACAATCTATAGTCCCTTAGCCTTTTCCTTTTTTCTTTTTCCTTTTTGTGCTTCTTCAAATTCTTTTTTTCCTAATGAATTTTGCAGCACTGTTAATGCTAACTGAGGCCGGTATGCGTCTCCCTTGAACATGACTCATTAGCATTCTGTTTGAGGGAAGCTACCGGCCTCTCTTTTGTAATTCCACTTTCAGATTTCTGGAACAATCATTTGTTATCCGTTTGCTTCTTAGTACGATATGCAAACTGCTTTAGCATTCGCTGCGGGTGCATCCAAGTCCGTGCTTTTTCCTCTGCTAGTATTAGTCATGGGATAAATATAAAACCTAAGCCGAAGTAGTAACTTAGCTGATTATGGTGGAGAGACATGCTATAGCAAATAAGGGACTTCCATTGCGATCACTTTGGAGTTATTACATTTGTAGATTGTCTGTCAGTTATGATAAGAGAGATTGAGATTCTATTCTTCGCGAAGGTCATACCAGGGAAGTTGTTACGAAAGGAGGTTGAGCTTTCAAGGTCCTCATCCCTATGAGGGCCAGGCAAACTGACTTGTAGCTTGATAAAGGGCGGATGGAAGTATAGCTGGGAATCCCACTTATCTTATAAGGAAAAAGTCTTTCTCAGTATCTAATGAACCGAACGCTTCAGCCGGGAAGAACAAAGTCACTGCTGGACCAATGCTAGTAAGTGCCAAATCAAAAGGCAATGATAATGTTCTCAGTAGCAGATGAAAGTTCTTGCTTCAGCTTCAACACCGTTGATTTCAATGTATGTTGTAAGAGAACCCTACAATGGTAAACGGCCATCAGAAGTATCCTCGGGACCGGTCGAGGTTATACTTAATTGCGTCAATAACGACCAGATGAGACGCCTTTTTGGACACCATGTGAATAATCCGATTATTGTATCTACTCGATCACTGCAATAATTACTAACAAAAGTGATAAATTTATTGCACTCGTGCCAATTCAGTCTTAAACTTTTTTAATTGTCTATTTGAGTCCTAAACCTTTTGATGATTTGTCAATGTACTCAATCACTGCAATAATTACTAACAAAAGTCATAAACTTGTTGCACTTGTGCGAATCAATCCTAAATCTTTTTAATTTGGTTATTTGAGTCCTAAACCTTTTGATGATTTGCCAATGTAGTCCTCCTGGCCAATTTTGATCGGAAATGCTTATATGGACGCCAGACGTCCTATATGGCATGCTTTGCGCTAATGTGGACAATTTTTATAAATTATTTTTTAAAATTGTTAACTTTTTTTCTCTTCATTTCGTTTTCTTTTCTTTTCTTTCTTTTTTTTTCCTTTCTTTTCCTATTTCGACCGGCCACAGGCAAGGGCCGCCTTCGCCTAGGCGATTGTCACCCACGCCAGACCTGTCAAGGATGACGGTCGCCTACGGCGGTGAGCACAACCCTTGCCGGCCACATGGTAAAAGAAAAGAAAAGAAACAGAAAAGAAAATGAAAAAAAAGACAAAATTCAAAGAGGTTTAGAAATTTAAAAAACTTTGCAAAAATAGTTCACGTTAGCGTCGGGCATGCCACATAAGATGGTTGGCATGCCACATAAGATGGTTGGCATTCACGTCAATGATTACATTAGCACATCGTCAAAAGGTTTGAAAGTTTAGGACTAAGGCTGCGCATGGCAACCATTTTGTGCCTAAGAACAGATTCTACTCAGAAATGATTCTTTTTTATTCTGTGCCCAGAAACAATTTCTAAGCATTTGAAGGCGTTTGGTAACTACCCAAAATTTCTATTCTTAGAATAGAAAAAGAACAGAATGTGTTTGGTAACTACACAAAATTTCATTTTATTAATAATATTTTAATAATATTTTGAATTTTTTTCTTTCTTTTTTTTTTCTTTCCCTTCTCTTCATTGGCCAAGGCCGGTCGCCGGCACCGGCGACTGGCCACAGGCCAAGGCCGGCGAGGGCATTGTGGCCCTCGCCGCCGGCGAGGCCGGTGACGACGGACCTGGATGGCGACGGCAAGGTCAGCCTCGCCTTGGCTGGGCGAGGCTTCGCCGTCGTGGCCCTCGCCGGCCCTGGCCCGCGGGTGTGGGCAGCAGGCCGAAGAACAACAACAAACCAAAAAAAAGAAGAAAATGAAGAAGAATCAGAAATGGAAAAATTATTCCAGAATCAAGAAGCTACTTTTTTTTTGCTTCTTGATTCTGTTCCAAAACTGATTCTGGGAACAATTTTTTGCAAAATTGTACCCGGGCACAAAAAATTTAACAAATGGATTTCTGCTCCTAAACTGATTCTGGGAACAAAAAAATAGAAATTTTTACTATTTGGCAAGTTGCCAAACATGCCCTAAATGGACGTAAGTAAGATAGATTTAGGACTTTCTTGGTAATTTTTCCCAAGATCACTTTCAATTTGACGACGAGTTACGATGGAGATAGACATAATAAACATCTTCCTAAAAGTCTCCATTTCACATTCGTATTATGTAGTTTTCAAGTCACTGTGGAATCTGGTCGAAAAATGTATTGAAAAGTACATTCTTTGCACCTGTTTTTGTCCACATTAAAGGCAGAATAATTTGAACTAAATTAATTGCTCGTGGAAGAAATTTAACGATTCCATGGTGTTGTGTCCGCGTTAGGAGCTGTTGTAATTTACTGAATGAAGATGATGCAATCTCTTATCTAAACATCTGAGCTAAGATTGAATCGTTGGCCAAGTTTGCAATTAAGTTTTACTTAACAGAACAGATACCATTGTGGAGAACAAGATGATACTTTGGTGGGATCAAGATGACCCATGTCCTTTAATGTAAGTAAGATTAAACAAAACATGGTTTTGGCATTTAAGCACAGTGAGATTCAGATGAAAAAGGATAAAAAGGACACTTGCCTGTCACTCTCCAAGCAAACTAGGCCACGATCCAATTTCAATGTGACCCCACCAAAGATCTAGGCATCGAGACTGGTTGCTACCAATAAAGAACCATGAAATGCCAAGCATAGCAACCCTCTAATGTATCAGTTCCCCATTGCTTAAGGCACATTTTCAACCTGTCCATGCACAAAAAAAACCTCCCAATACGATCTGCCTCCTAAAATTCCTCTCTCTCTCTCTCTCTCTGCAGAGCTTTAGCTATTGATCTTGCTCTCTCAAAGTTAGTTAAAGCAGCAAACCCAAATTCCTTCTGCTGCTCCTTGTTGGGTTCTCAGATAGATCCATGGAGGGTGAAAATAACTACACGGATCTTCGAACAGCTTCTTTTTCAGTTTATCTGAATTCGGCACAAGAGAGCTTCGTGCAGAAGCTTGGCGAGTCGGCTCGGTTCTCTTCTCCTCCCATCCCTTTGAGTGAGGAGGATCACATTCCGAAAGGCTTAGGGAAAGTCACGGCTAGAGAGGGTGAAATCGGCATCTTTGGTGCCGAAAAGTACTTCAACATGGACATAGATGAAGACTCTGCTCCAACACTAGCGGATGATTACGCAAAGAAATTCGGGTATAAGAAAGAAAGTCATCTTGATCCTTATCCTAGTAGCTTGAAGACCAAGTCTGGAACACCGAGTTTGAGCTCTGAGACGAGTTGGAACAGCCATACTTCTTTCTTAAGAAGCTTTCAGAGGATTCCATATCAGGGGAAGCAGAACATCTCCAACGGGAGAAGCTTTTTTGCAGGACTTAGCTGCAACAAGTCTTGTTCAGATAGGAAGTCCATATACGTCAGCAAAAACATTCTGGGCAGAGGAATCCGACGAGAGGCTATCAGAAAAGAGAGTACAGAAAACGAGAACTTATCCATCAGAAATAAGCAGTCTCAATCTCAACCAACATCTCAGGATAAAAATGAGTTGAGCTGCTCGAGTTTCGAAAAGGCCAGAATGGGTCCAAAAAGAGAGGAGCACTTCGCTTTCCCAGTGCTTCATGATGGGTTGCAGAAACTGGCTGTCCAAAGACAAATGAGAGAGGAGATCAGAACCAAAGTAGAAGAAGAGCCCCGAATCTCTCTCGAGGTATTCGGCTCCCGCGCAAAGAAGAAAGGCGATGCGGTGGTGATGAACCTGGAGAGGAAACTATCAATTCTCACATGGGATGCCATTCCAAAAGCCCAAAGCTTTCCGACTTCATCCAAACGCAGCGAAGTAAACGATGACATGGAGAGCGAGGCAAGTTCTGATCTATTTGAGATAGAAAACCTATCTGGCACAAGTAGCGTGCCTCCATTATTCACTAGGCAAATATCCGATGGCTTCTCTGGGTGCATGACTCCCACCACTTTGTACGAGCCAAGTGAAGCCAGCATCGAGTGGAGTGTTGTGACGGCCAGCGCAGCCGATTTTTCAGTGGTCTCTGATTATGATGGGAAGGAAGTTTCGCTTTCATCTGGTTTCCAGGATGCTAGTCTAGTCAAAACTGCTAATGCTAAACTAAGCCAAGAGAAATCATCAACAGAAAAGCAGGGTCCGAAACCCCCATTTAGCGGAGGTGGATTATTGGGGTGCAAGAGTCATAAAGCAGTGAAAGTTGCTGAGACTGCACACAAGGCTAACGACAAACCAAAGATCCCGCGGCCCCACCCGAGGTTGGATGCCTCCATGACAATAAGGAAAATTGCAAGCTGAGGCTAAGGTGAAAGACCTTGATTTCTCGTAAGAGAGGTGAGGAGAGAACTGAGAAGCATGAGTTTTTCTTTTCGTTGCTCTTTTCTTTTTCCTTGTAAACTTTTCCTAGCATTTGATGTCAATAACAATGAGGAGTGATTATCCTGAGAATACGATTGTGTTTGTTCTTTGAGGGATTATGTAATACTTATCCTTGAAAAAACAGGGCCCATGTCTGGTGCCTTTATGTCATTTCAGAACAGAGCAGCTGAATTAGCCTGTAAAAATCAGGATTTTGATTTAGTTGGAGCTTTCTAGGCAATTGTCTGAGAGTGTTTCTAGAGGACCTGGATTGCTTGACCACCCTTGTCTGTTAAATTTGTAAGTTCTGTTCATTCTTGTCCTGCTTTAGGAATGGAGGTGTTTCCTATGATGGGGCCTTGTTCTCTACTTTAAACTAAAAGCCACTTTTAAGTTTGATAGGCCAGACTCGTCTTTCTCATGAGAATGCGAATGGGTTGTCCTTTTCTGTCTGTAACTAAAGTTGAACAACATGTGAAGTCGATGCTTCAAGAATGTACAACTCGAGAAAACCCGATCTCTATGCAAAGCCTGTCAATGGTTCCCTAATATACTTAAGCTTTTGACAAGAAATTTTTAACAGTGTAGGCTGAAAGATGATGATGATGATGCATTCCTCCTGTTATTAGCACTTTTCTCACCTTTTTCTTAAGCAGCATGCGACTGTTAAGTTCAGATACCAAGCTTGGATGCGACAAAGCTTCTTTAGCATAGCGAAACGGCCTGAGCTCACTACATGAAGATTTGGCATTGGAACAGAGTCATTATCCTGATCTTTTGGAGATTGTTCCCATCATGGACACACAAAAGATCAAGTTCTTGAACTTTGTGAGAGAATGCAACTTAAATTTACCACGAGTTCAAATTGCAAAAGTCAATGGTAATTTGCCTGTCATAATCCAACAGAAACCAGTACTCTTTGAGCACCTCACCATGTTTCTGCTTTCTTCTTGACCTTATAGATGATTCAATGTCTCCGCTGTTATAAAGACAGTATGCAAAGTGCGATAGAAAATTGTTTAAGGTTCAATCAGTCAGACTGCTTATGTTCTGGTGTACTCGGTCTTCCGGGCAATCTCCGTGTTTCTCTTAAAATGCAAGATAAGGCATCGCTTCCTCTGCGCTACATGATGAGAGGAGTTTCTTTGTTTGGTAAGATGCCTTTAATGGAGGATGCTACTAACAGAGATACGATTTGTCAACGAATGTCGTCTGCAATGACAGCTTTAAACCCAGCTCATCATAAAAGCGAATGCTGATATGTCAATTAACACAAGTTGTTTTGCTTGTGCATTTTAGTGGACAACCCAACAGCTAAATGTGGAACCCATTCTTGATCCTTTTCATATTCGTTTTTCCCCACTCAGTACCTAAGGTTTGGAATCTTGCAGACATTCTTAATCTCACATTGGCCTAATTTTTGTTAGAACATAAAACAACAGATATCCTTCTCTTCTTTTTAGTGTTAATACAGCAAAATAAGGCGAAATTGCAACTCGATATAGAAATGAGAAGATCTACAAACCTTAAAAAATTGGCTAGATTAACTCTGTCGACACACCATTGATAGCAACAAAAATCAAGTACTTTTAAATTAGGATCGGTCGTTTTGAACCACAAAATGTAATAGCTGTTCAAGTTGAAAGCATGTTGCTCCGCAAAAACTCCTTTTCACAATTCTTTCAACCTTTGAAAGGAACCCAATTAATGTGAGATCTTAAGCATCTAAGGGCATGATGTGACCAACAAAAATTAGTGAACCACATAGACAAGCAAAGAAACTTAAATGCAGAAAAGATGGGGAGTTGGCTGTCACTTTTGAAATCTTCAATGGGGTGGAGAACCAAAATAACAGTACTGGAAAAGAAAAAAGAAAATGTTATATATCCTTGGGACTGTTATCTTAAACAAATCAAGCCTCGGTCCCCACATGAAAAACATGCTGTCTAGAGAGGGATGGACATTTATTGAAGAATTTAATTTCTGACAGAAATTCTCTAGGTATTTTCTTGAGAAATCAGGCCACATATTGGCTTTTGCCAAACGGAATGTCTTGAAGGGAACCTTTATAATATAAATAGAGGTGAGTTTCAGCATCAAATTAGTTTGCGCAGTAATGGTTCTCATGGACCACCTAGAAACACATATGGTTGCCATGAGCTACTGGAGGATTGAAATGATACACAGCAGGCGATCACCAGAGAAAGAAATAGAGATTGAAATGGAAGATCCCCGCAATTTTTTTGTGGCCAAATTGAATATCTCGCATTCGGCTTGATGGCATGCGTGCTGAGCTTGATCTAGAGAGTTCAGACAACTCACAATAAAATAGTACAGCAAGATAAGAACGAATTCAATTTCGAAGGTGATTAAAATCTTTGTATTTTGATTTGATATCCTAAAAAGCCACTTTCTAGTCTGTAGTTGCAATAGTGACCGTTAATAATGCAGGCAAAAGATGCAACAACATGTCTAATGCAAACCGGGTCAATATGTCTTGTCCCTCTCTAATGTTCACAAGATTTGGACTTCGATGTCTTAAAATAGTAACTTGTCCTCTATCTAGATTAAAAGGTGAAAGGGGAGTGATGATGACCCTTTGGTACCAAAAAAGAAGTTTCTTTAGGGGCATCAACAGTACTGGCGGCCCTTTCTAATGAGATAACCACCCCCATCAAACTTTTTGAGTTTTCCATAAATCGATTTTCTTCTTTACAACAAATCGACGCGAACTCGATTAACATCGTAAAATAAGTACATATGTAGTAAACAGTAAATAGGTTCCATGCATGGATTAACACAACACTCCTTTAACAGTCTCTTATCCTGCAAATCCAATTGAGGAGTCTGTCAGTTGTTTCTATTGATTACATTGTTTCCCTTCAATTCCCTTCCTGTCTCATGGACCCCCCCCAAGTGATTCTAAGAATAATAGAAACAAGAGCCAAATTGTCAAGCAAAAGCGAAACAAAACATGTAAGGCCCATCTATCAGGGTAATACAACATGATCCAAAGTGCTTATTACAGATGATTTTTCATTTGAGCCAGGTCCATGTCCCTGGCCCATTCTGCTCTCATCAGCCCTAGAATTTCCTTCCCCTTATGATGTCCATTTCTCCACTTATATTAAGGCTATGTTTGGGGAATGAGGGGGAAATGGGGGTGATGAAAATTCGAGTGAAAAACTATGTAAACTTTAAATTCTTCGCAAGATGAAATATGAGGGAAAATATAGGATTTCTAGGTCTTTTTCTTGCATTTAATTCACCTCGGGTGCTACGAAATGTAGCCTAAGAAAACAAACGATCGATTTTCAAAGGAAAAAGGATAGACAAACGAATTTGTAAATGCAGATTACACAAATTACCTTCTCATGCATTCTTTTGATTTTTTGTAATGTTACTATGAAATATGTGGGTCGTTTATCCATTTTTTTAGCTCACTTGAAGGACACAATGTATTAATGAATTTACGCCACGTTTGAAATGATGTGGGTACAGTTTAACATAAGGGCATAATTATGAATACCGTTAGATTGTTATATTTGTTGATATGTATTGAGTTCTTTATTTTTCTTGAACTTATAATGACACTATTTTTGACAATAACTAAATGTTGTGTAAATCTTCATAAGGTCTGATTTTTAAAAGTATTTAATACAACAATCGAAAATCTTGAACTTTTAGGATCCAGCAAGCCCCCAAGACCACGGCCACGACCACGACCACGGCCACGACCGAGCCGTCCCGTGAAGGTTCAGAGATCCGTGCCGTACGAGGTTTCAAGAACTCACACGACTCACAAGACATTCCGATTCTGGGTGGTCTTGGGTTCGACTTTCAAGATTCTACTTTGGTTGCTTCGACCGAGTTAACTCAGCAACTTGCGCACCGTTTCTTTCTTTGGTTGACGAAACAACCGACACTATTAATAAACCCCCCAAAACCCTAGAGTCTTTTGTTCTCTCCTTCCCCCTCTGGGTGCAGTAGGGTTTTAGTTGACTACCTCACAAACAGAGGCACGCCACAGAGAGAGAGAGAGAGAGAGAGAGAGAGAGAGAGGGAGGGGTGAGCCGCGAGCCATGGTCGGGGACAAGGGAAAGAGGGTGAAAGGGGACGACGAGAATTCGGAGCAAATCGATGGGGAGCTCGTTCTCTCCATTGAGAAGCTCCAAGAAATCCAGGATGAGCTTGAAAAGGTACATGTTCATGCCTTTTGTTGGGTACCCATTTCACCACCTAGCATGTAAAGCTCCCCGCTCATTTTTCTCTTTTGTTTTCCCCGTTTTGACTGCGTGTGGATTGTTGACAGTCAGGATGAAGTTTGGGAATTACCCCAGTTCTTTTGGCCCTGTTGGTGGGTTGAGTTCCCGAATTCCTTTTCTTTTCTTTTCTTTTTGGATGATGTCTCGGTGTAAAGGGTTGTTTTTCTTTTGGTTTCCCTATCTTAGTTTGATTTTGTATCCTTGATTGGGGTCGGGAGTGGCTGGCTCTTTAGGTTTCTTGAAAATCATGGAAGCAATTTAGCATTTTGCTGCCCTCTTGATAGAAGCTCGCTGCAATGGTAATGAGGAAAATCCAGCTTTTACAAACTTTGACAGCAGATTGTAATTGCCATAATGCAGTCAATTGTAATGAAGAACATTGTAGTGACCCTTCTGTGCATCTACATTGTCATTGCAGCGCTGGAATTTGTTAGGTAGACTGTGATGGTGTATCGCATATTATCATGTTAATTGATCTGTCTGGTTTTGCGTTGTGTGTTGATAGATCAATGAGGAGGCCAGTGACAAAGTTTTGGAGATAGACCAGAAGTATAACGAGATACGCAAGCCAGTATATGATAAGCGCAATGAGATCATCCAGTCGATCCCTGATTTCTGGCTAACTGCTGTCAGTAATTTGACTCTCTTCTCTTTAGTCTTTGAATGGACTGACTTTGGCTGCTACAATTCAACAGCATTTATTCTTCTAATCGAGCTGTTTGTTCATTTGTATAGTTCCTTAGTCATCCTATGCTTGGTGAACTTTTGATGGATGAGGATCAAAAGGTTTGTCTTCTATTCTTACATCAGCTGGAGAAAACTATCAGTGAGCTCATTTCTGTTTTCGTGGTCGACCTCACTAACTCTTTCAAGTGCTAGCAAAGTTGACCACCCATTCAACCATGATGTTTATATTCAATAACTTCTACTTGCTATTTGCTTGATAAATTAATCTGTTTTGCATAGTTTGAGTGATGTTTTCTTTTTCTCTGATAGATATTTAAGTACCTCGACTCCCTGGATGTGGAGGATTCGAAGGATGTTAAATC